AATATTCCACATTGAAATGGTTGTCCTTGCGTGCAATATGTTGAAAGATGCCTTGAATGTGAATACAGACAAAATTGCTATTGTAAAAGATTTCTCAGCCTAACAGTTTACTTATAAGGATGATACACAATAGGCAATTTTTATAAAAGTTTAACTCAACAGAAAATAGTAGTTCAATTTTTTAAAGTGGAGTTTCCCAAATATATACAATAAACGGGATACGATAATAAATGTAGGATAATACGCCTCCAGGTATCCATCTCCTAGCTTCAAATATCATAAATCCTTTTTTCATGTATTAATTCTTCCGTATTTTGAAGGTAACATTTTTCATTATATACTCTTAATAACATTTTGTTTTATATACAAGTTACACACAATGATCATATGTAACAAAATTAAAAATGATTCATTTATAGAATCTAATACTTAGTCCATAATCTAATATTCCTGATTACATCAAGGATTCTTATCACATATGATTTGTTCAAAACAGAAGTCTACATGTTGTACTTAATTATTATAATTTTTATATTTCTCTTTTCATAATCTCTTATGGTTTTTGAATGTCATTAAATTGGCAGAGAAACATCTTTTCTTATTGAATATTCAGTATCCTGAATTTGATTGATTGCCTTCTTGGAGTGGTTTTGCTTGATCTTCTCTCCTCTGTATTTCCTTTTAAGTCTAGAAGCTTGATTAGACTCTATTCCAGTTGCTGAAGCAAGATTTCATAGTGGTCTGGGAACTTCTGATTTTGTTATATATAAGGCACACACCATTCAGTTATCAGAGCTGTCCCTTTTTATTTTAGTTGCTGTGTCTCTCTGGGGAGATTTCAAAGTTATGCTGCCATTATTATCTTTCTCCAACGACAGTAAAAAACACTTTATTTACAAGGAGAAAAAACCTAGACAAGATACCAATGGTTCTGGATTCTGAATCTCTTGGATAAATTGTATTTGAAGGAGATTTTCCTGCTTCAACATAGAGGGACTGACTAGATAGGGAAAACAGACTTAAGAAATTCATGTATATAAAGTTACAGAAAGTACATCACTAATTATTATACTTAGAATCTACACTATTAGAAGTCAGGGCAGAAATAACTCAATTATAATAAGTCACTTGCTAATTATTCTGTTTATGGATTTCCAATGTCATTTGCTCCTTGCACTTCTCTTCCTTAGGGGATTTTTAGTATCATTTGATTCCCCTTAATGCCTCCAGAGGTGACTGTATGATGAGAAATGAACATAAACTGTACACATATACATAAGAGATTATGACTCACGATTCATGGTGTGTTCCCGCTGAGATTAAACAATGAGCAGTTTGTGTTACAGTTGAGGATTTTTCAGGGGCAATGCAGAGCAGAACGTAGTTACAATCCTACTGAGTACTGAGCAAGCTATCTATGGCGTGGTGAAGAAACAGATGCAAAAATCATGAAGGTCACTGTGTCTAAGAAAGCGGTAGTGTATTATATACTCTTCAGGCGCTAGATGTGTTCTCCTAAAGGTGCAGTCCAGGGGTTCTTAGCTATTTCCTGGGTATAATGTCACTAACATTCAGATTCAATAACTAAACTGAATCTGGATCTCAGACTGGTTCCCACAAAGTGTTATATTAGAAAATCTTTCAGGTAATTCTATGTTCAGTCAGATTTAAAATCTTCAGATCAGTCAGATTTGAAAATCTTCAGTCTACTCAATAAGTAAATGGCACCATTTATAGATCTTACTATGCACATGACTGTGCTGAAAATTTTTGGCACATAGGAGATTAATGCTTGGAGAGATGTTGAATTCCTAAAGTCTTGCTACAAAGCAGTTTCACAACCAGTCTATTTGGTTTCAGAACTGAGGCTATTGAATTTATTTTGCACACAACTCAAAATAAGACAATTTAAATCATAGCTCAGAACAAACACGATAAAATGAAAAAATAAGTATCAATTACAAATAGCCTTGTAAAGTAAAATCAGATAAAGGTTGGTATCTGATTTTGTTTAATTAAAACAATGATGGTTGGGAGTGGGGATGTAGCTAAGTGTAGAGTGCTTGTCTATCATGTGTGAGGCCCTAGTTTGATCCCCAGCACTGAAAAAAAAAAACCCCAGGAATAAGAACAACAAAGAAACAACACACAACAGAAAACAATTGGCTAATACCCAGTAAAATTTCATAACTTAGTGTGAGATACTTCTAAATCCGGACAGTTAATGTTTCCTTCCTATTTCAATAAATGGCAATATCTTTTTCACACCGATGGCTTCTCATTTTCTGTTTTCTCAGTTGGAGTCTTTCCTTTTATCTGTAGGGTTTTTTTTTTTTTTTGAGGTAAAGTCTTGCTACGTAGTTCAGACTGACTTTGAACTCTCAATGGTATGAATTTTCTGCTATATGTATATATAGATATACATATTTTTTTGATACAGGGTCTATGAAGTTTAGGCTGGTCTCACTGTATACACTAGGCTGGCTTCAAATGCATGGCAATCTTCCTGCCTCCACCTCCCAAGTGCTGGAGTTACAGGTGTGAGCCACCATGCCTGACTTCCAATGCGTATTTTAAAAAATTTTTCCTTCCGATGCCTATTTTTAAATAGCACTCACCACAAATTTTTCCACACTATATTGTATTATACATTGTGATGCCCTGTAATTGTTTTATATTTTAGATAGTTTGACTAATTTTAATCTCTTTGAAGATTGACTACATTCTGTGCTTTTCCTTCTATCTGCTTGGAGTTAGGCACATTACAAATGCTGCAAACAGGTGGATGGACCTACAAAGGTCAACCATTGAAGCTTTCATTTCCGTATCCCTGAAATTAAAAAGATGTTTGAGATTGCCATAAAGTAGTTATGTCTGTTTTTATATGCTATATATGGAATTTTATAAAACGTACAAAAGAAGGAAAAAAATACAAAACTTCTAAAATTAGCAATTATACAAGGAAGGTTTCTGTGTAATAAAAAAGCAAAACCTGGTATTTTTTGAAAGCAAAGTCTAAAGTCCCTCATGCTGTCTCTGAAAAGATAAAGACACTACTGAAAGGTACTAATGAAACTGAGCTCTGTGGCACTTGAATATTGACATGTGGTTATTTATTGGCTACATTTTTAAGAACTGAATGAATATATGCACAAGGTATTTCTGTGAACTCTTTTCAAGTTGAATTGATTATACAGTAACCAAGGCCTAACAATATGGGGCTGGGGTATCACAATTCAGGGGGAAAATCATAAGATACAATTACGTTTTAGATAGTATTTGTTTGGAAGTAGTTTTTAAAATACTTCACGAGGTCAAAGAACATCGATGGCTGGTTCAGTTACTTGTAACTCTGTGACCATCAACATTCTTGTTCTTCTGCTCTTGAGACTCTTGGAAAAGGTGCAGGATGTAGGCAATCCCTCTGCGGTGGCAGTGCTCATGGCTGATGTAGGGTGTATTGGAGAATGGAGGGCAGTAGCAGGCATCCATGAATCTCATCTACTTTAATTTTATTATACTTCTTTCTTAGCAATACTTTGTCCTTTGGGAAATTTTCTGTTCACCAGTTCATCTGGCTTGGGTGTGTGGGAGAACAGGAAACAAAAGCTATTTCCCTTGAGGTTCTTCAGATAGAGGCAAATTCCTCTAGCCTGACTATAAGAATGGTTGTTACAGAGGCGAGCCCAGAGTTCAAGTGGGTCCAATGAGATGGATCCTGAGGCTGCTCTCTTGCAGTGGGATCAATAGCTAAAGAGGTTGGAGGTAAGCCTGGAAGTGGAGGTTTCGCTCCTGTTTAGAGAAAACAGAACCAGGGCAATTAAAGCACATCCAAGATTGGACAGAAACCTAGTCCTCGTACTCGTGGAGCGTCTGGAAGAAAAACAGAAAAAGATTATAAAGAATGCATTCATTTGGGCTGGGGATTTAGCTCAGAGGCATAAGTGCCTGCCTTGCAAGCAGGCAGCCGTAAGTTCGATCTCTGGTGCTGGTGAAAAAGAATGTGTTGTTGTTACTGTTTATTTTTTTGTTTTTGGTCAGCTCTACTCTTGGAACTTATAAATATATGGGCAAAGTACAAATGTTACCCCATCATTCAGTACTAAGCAGCAAGGGCTGGAGAGATGATGTAGAAAAACAAGCCCTGTGGACACTGGTGGTCACAATGGCTGCTGATGCCAGGAACCTGCAGAGCATCCCCATCCTTTGCTGTAGTGTCAGCGGTTCTCACAGAGGTTGATGACAGCGGCATAAACAGCAGCATTTGTCACTTGAAAGAAACATTTCAAAAGCAGCATCATTTAATCTCAAGGTAGGTTCTTTGGGAGGGGGCTAAATTCTGTTTAAGGAAAATGGTAGTTCGTGAAAAGTCAGTGGTAGAAATGCACTTGGAGGCCACCTAGCAAATGGCCATTGGAGGAGGACACAACACAGGTCAAACTCTCATGCCTCACTTCAGGGGTAGGTATGTTGCAAAGGACCCAGCTAGTGTTCAGTTTCCTGTAGTTCTGGGTAAGATCCTCATTACAGTTGGAGGTGAGAACAAATAACCAGGGAGCGAAGGCGAGCAGCCCGCGGCGAGGCAGGAATGCCACTGGGCAGTGGCCGGCGGGGAGCCCGGGTTGGGGAGCCAGACCCTGATAACGGTGCGTGCGCGCAGAGGCCAGGCTCCGGGACGCAGGGAGCGCAGGACCGTGCCTTTCCCCGTGCTTCCGAGCGAGCACAGGCGCCAGCCCACACCCGGCGGGGGAGGAGCCGGAAGGGGGCCAGCGATCCACCGAGGCCCGGCCGGAGCGGCGGCTCCCGGGCCTCCGCGGTACCCTCTCCTCCCCTCGCCTCTCCCAGGCACCTCCGCGCCTAAAAGTGGGCCGGCGCCTTTAAGAGGCCGCTTCGGTTACCCGGGCGGAGGCGCCGCCGCGATGCTCTCCGCCGCCGGCTCCCGCGCCCGCCGCCCGCCGCCGCCCCGCCGCGCTCCTGCTCCTGCTCCTGCTCCCGCTCCGCGGGGACGCGTGGCTGTCGGCGGCGGAGCAGCGAAGGGCTATGTCCGCCAAGTGCCGGGAGGGACGCGACGGGGCAGCGCTCCCCGCCCGGCGCCCGCGCGCGGCCCGCGGCCTGAGGTGAGGCGAGGTGAGGTGAGGTGAGGTGAGGCGGCGTGGGCCGGGCCGGGCCGGGCCGGGCCGGGTGGGGCGGGCAGGGACAGGGCGGACAGGGCGGGCTGGGACAGGGCGGGCAGGGCGCGGCCGCGGGCTCGGGCTGCGCGGGGCGCTGAGCCGCCGGCCGGCCTCCGCAGTCCGCGCCGCGCGGCGGGTCCGGGGCCTCGGCTTCGCGGTGCTCGTGGCCCGCCTCGGCGGCCCGGCCTTCCCGGGAGCGGTCGGAGCGCGGCCGCGGCCGGCGCGGGGCTGGGAGCGAGTGTGCGCGGGAGCCGGCCGGGCTCGCTCAACTTTCCCGCCGCGGCCTCGGGCGGCTCCGGCGGCTCCCGCTGCTCCAGCGGCGCCTGCAAGCCTCGGTCGCTCGCGGCGCTGTGTGTGGGTCTTCCGGACTCGGGAGGTTTTCCACTGCGCCCCGAGTTTAGCCTCCTGCCCCTTTTGAGGAAACAGTTGTTTTCTTTCTTTTCTTAAACAAAACAAAACAAAACAAAACACCAAAAAACCCCACAAAACCTCAGCAACAAATTTCCCCTAGGGCTGGCCCTCAATTTCAAAATCTGTGTTCACTCTTGAGTGAAATAGTCGTTAGAAAGCCGATCTCCACCTTTAGGAAATACAAGTAAAATACAGGTATCCTGTAGTAGGAAGCACCCAAGAGCGAGGTGGGATGCGGTTGAAGCTTTTTTTCTTCTTTTTAACAGAATTTTTATTGTTTGTGATGAATTTATTTTTTAGTATGTTTTAAGAAGGTTCCAGCTAATCTTAGAAATATTACTTAAAAAATTGTAAATAAACCCAGTGTTTCTTGCTTCATGCAGTTTTATGCATGGGTGGAGTATGTAACACATGTAATCATTGAATGAACTCTTACTAAGTACATTTATTACACGTTTCATGGGTGAAGGAAGCCCCATATATTCACACTAAGGGTCTCTACCACTCTTGTTACTCCGTTTCTGCCTTTTGCGTGCATAGTATGTGTACATCTGATGTGAGCTACAAGTAAAAAGTGCAGATGAAAAGTCTGTATTTTGTGAAAAGTTGCATAGCTGGCATTTAGTTACATGCATTTTAGGGACATGGATGGAACATCCAAATCACTTCGAACAATAAAAATAGAATATGAGAACTTAAAGTGTGTCATGAAGTATTTAAAGTAAAACTCACAAACATGCTTTACATACAATTTTGTATGTGAAAGTTATGTACTACCCAAATAGTTGGAAAATAGTGTAGAAAACTTTATAGACTTTTCCTTAAGCAGTATTAGTTGCACTAGTGAAATTTTCAAAGAAAACATACCAGAATAACCATTAATATTGTAAAGATTTGCTTGGGATGTAGATTCTTATCTGAGTACATTTTGGTCACTTTGCTGTCAAAACTAAAACCTTAATAAACAAAGAATTCAGCTTCTCAAGCATTTCTGAAAAATGGTACAGCAGCTTGAACATTCTTGGAGGAAAATTTACATAGAGAAGTCACATACTTAAACCTAACTGCAGTTGACATTGTACCTTAATTTTACTCAACTGCAGGGAACAAGGGGAGAGTCTGGGTTCTAAGATGGATGTGATTTAATTCCTAGAATTGTCTTGATTAACGTGGGTGCCTTAAACTTATGTAGGTCTATTTATTTTGGAAAGATTGTTTTTTGAATAAGTTAGCTTTGAAAATACATGCACACATGTGAGTTTATATAGACCTTATAATATGAACTATAACCTGTTACAGATGACATCTGTGTCAATCATCTGTCTAGCACAAAGGGGAAAACCATTCAGGGACTTGATGATACAAATGCACTAAGAACAGCAGGTCTAAAAGATCAGAAGTGAAAAATAGTTCTTGTTAGAGCTTGTCATTTTTTCGACATGTTAGTCTCAAATCAATCAAGCTAAGCAATACTGTCCTTTGGTGTGTTCTGGAATCTTACCAAAAAGAAGCTTGGACTAGGAGGACACATGTCAGAATCTTATGTACATATTTATCTGTTGAACTGAATAAATTACTGCAACAGCTGGTGATTGACTCCATGACTTTCATTGTTTGTCTTTGGTAGGCAAATCGCTGTTCATTTGTCAATGTGGCATTTTCTTTAGCTTCAAAAATGATATTCAGGGTACTCTCTGTTAGTGTAGATACATCTGTATCTGTGGTGAGACTACATCTCAAAGGCCTGTGATTCAGACTTTGTGAAAGATCTGGTACCCTCTTTATAAAAAGCCTTTTCCTTAAGCAGTATTTGGTGTGTGAGGACTCACTAATGTTTGGGAAAGTAATACCTCTAATATAATGCTGCAGTTATTGTAAGGAGACCTGTGGCATTCACCTTTGGACTACTTAGTCACATCTCACAGCCAAACCTACTTTCAGCATATATATGAAAATAAGAAATGATTTTTGCTTTAGTTAGGAAAGATACGTTTTTATATTTGTTACAAATTTCCTTTGTTACAGGTGTAGCTCCCACACACCATTTTTGGAACTGACATGTATTTAGGGTGAATTCTTGATTATATAAAACACATTAATGATTTTTAGAGATTATATTATGTCTCTTTAGGTTTTGAAAAATCACATTTGAGATGTTTAATTATGAACTTGAGAGTACATACTTAAAAGTGAATGGGATCTTGATCAACTACAGTTTTGATTTCATGGGAATTTTCTGCTTGAGGTCAGATGTGCCCTTAATTTGAACTGGACGATTCACAAAATCAGTAGTTTTGCAATCACTAAACATGGGGAATATTCCACATAATTTGCAGTGTGGGCAGCCCAACATGTTTAGTGTTTAGTTGGTTTAGGGCGGTGTGCCATGCTTGCAAAAAAAATGGTTTCTGAAGCTGACAGCAAGCTGTTTCAGTCTCTTGAGTTTGACATGGAGGATAAAAATGCCTTTTTGCCTGTATGGCAATAAATATGGACAGGATTATATGAAACAATTTGTGCTCATTTCTGATTGTATGACAGAAGATTCAGAAAACTCAAGAATGAAACTTGCCGGGGATTTAGCTCAGTGGCATAAGTGCCTGCCTGGCAAGCACAAGGTCCTGAGTTCGATCCCCGATACCAAAAAGGAAAAAAAAAAAAAAAAAAAAAAAAGAATGAAACTAGTATACTGAACAGCACACTCACAATCATTATAAAAATGTAAAGAAGAGTTAGATGGATTTTAACATAGCTCTTGGGCTTTTGCTGAGAGTCTGTATTTGCATTCTGTGCTTAGAGGAGAAGCTAATGATTTCCTATTGAAATTAATGATTGTACAATTATTATCAGTAGTTCCTCTGAGCAGTAGTGTTCAAGAAATTCTATTCTAAGCCCAACTTAGATGTAAAATTCTCCCAGCCAATCACCTGGAGGGGATGTTAATTTATTCTTAGATAATTTTCAGGTCAAACCATTGTTGGTCCTTGTAGTCATAAGCTTTGCGTTATCTTTTTAGGAGTTTTGACCACAGATGGTTGGTTAACCATTTTCTCTCAATTGATTTAGTTCAGTTTGTGTCATTAAAACTTTCAAAAACAACTTTAAGAAATTCTTTTATGTGGGAACTTCTAAGGACCTGCTTTGGGGGAACTGGTGCAGAAGGCACAGGTTGTATTCCAGCTGATACCTTCCAAAGGGATGGTTTGCTGTTTTTATTTTTTTAGGTCAATATTTTAGGTTGTTCTTGTTGAGTAAAGCTCTAGAATTAAAATGTTTTTGGGAGAGAGATAAAGGACATTGATGTCTTTCGTTGACCTTAAAGCCCTTGATTATTTCTAATGTACAATCTATAACCTAATCTGTCTTTGAGGTTTATGTTCTGCCTTATTTTTTTTTTTTTTTGGTTGGTGTAATATGAAAGACTTAAATGAGTTTTTGATAGGATTTGAACTCAGAGCTGAATGATTAACACTTTGTTCAAACATGAAACTATAAAAAAAAAGGAAACTCTACATACAGTCTCAACCCCAGACTATTGTTAGTGCTCAGTTATATCTACGAATGCTATATCCAGAAGAACACATTACAGCGGTTAGGAGTGTGCCTTGAAAATGTTTTCCCTTTTTCAGTTGTAGTCCCCTTTACTGTATGCCTGTCTGTCCACATATTTTGATGTGTATATAATTGCTATATGATAGAATGAATGTTGTTCCCTGTGTAGTCATATCTATAATTTAAAAATAGCTTGTCATCTGCCTCTGCTGCCAACACCTAGATTCTAACATTTAAAATAAATCTGAGAGAGTTAAATATACAAATTTAGCTTAAGATCTCTTTCTGCATGTGTATGTGTGCCTGTATGTGTCTATGTTCATATATTATCTATATATTCATATCTTCTCTTGCTTTCTGTCAGTAATAAAAAATTTAGCCGGAAATTACCTTTTGAAACCATAGCATTCTGGCTGCCACAAAACTACATCTTTACTTCTAGAAACTAGAATTATAAAAAGGGAAAAAACTAGAAGAAGGATATATGTGAAAACATAAGAACAAATGATTAGATATACAGAGAAATTCTTTTCTTCATTTGTAGAACTGAAGGTTGGCTATAGCCATCGAATGCGACCCTAACAAATGTAGTCATACTTGTATTTTCCATGAGCATTTTTCATTTTTAAAACTTAGTACTGACGGTGGAATCATATAAGAGGATACACACACATTTATTTTCTGAACTATTTCTTTTCAGATACTGTATTTTATCACTATGAACACGTTTCCTCTTTTTTTCCACCTCAGTCTTAAGGTTCTGTGTTCCCTTAGTACTTGGTGCTTCCCTGTTTCATCACTTTAAAATGAGGGTCTTTTGGCTGTTACCATCTCAAAGAACTGTCTTTGCATTTTGTTGTGGAATGTAACAGTCACGCATAGATTGAACAGGCAAAGTCTTTTCATGAGGTCTCGTAGATGTTCATTGTCTACAGGAAATTTCGGAGTATTTTTTGGAACTGATTTTTATTGTGTAGTTTTTC